CTGTCAAGTTTGAGCTATGCAAAGTACCCAACCCAGCCCATCCTTGGAGGAGCCTAGATTCCGCGTCTGCGACTGCATGGTGTGCGGTCGTCTCGGCAGATTGCTCGGCCGAGATGAGCCCTGCGTGGCGAAACCATTTGTTTCGAATGGAAGATGGTGGAAGGATGTGGAAGGTATATAACATCCCTCCAGTAAACAATTCATAGCTGTGGAAATGGTCCATTTAGATACTTTGCCCATTAAAAAAAATAAAAATGGATAAAAATGGTAAGTCTCCATGGCTAAGTTGGTTTACAAAGGGTATCCCTGTTGAAATTTGGGAGAGGTTGTGAGTGGACTTCGTACAGCCCAGGCGAGCACACCATACCATGCCATACCATCCGTTATAGATCAGTGCTATAGTTGAACCGTGTTTACCACACATAAGAACAAATTACAGGCATTGTATACCCGTGTTGCATCATGTCGCTACAATGCTACAAATTGCTGGTACAGACCTGTGAACACCATTGAAGACCTAAAAACAAAACACTTTCACGACACGCCCTGCTTTTTTGTCTGACTGGATGGTTGTTTCTGACTGCTTCGAGGATGATCCGCGACCTTGGAGGAAACACGACAGTCCACCGGGGCGGGGTGTCCGAAGCCCTCCCCAAATCCCTATCACACCCCATGTAACTCCGCCCTGCAACGTTCTGACCTGGTGTAGAATTACTCAGAAAGGATCCATTTGTACACAATGTCCAAACTAAAATCCGACCGCTTTCGCACTTCACCCGAAGCTTCTAGAAGCTTCTCACTCTTTTTGTGTTGACGATTGCTGGCTGTCTGCAGACCCCGACTCCAAAACCATCAACGAGAAAGGGGGAATGTTGCGGCGTCGGATGCACGGTTTATTGTGCACTGAAACATTCACAGCAGAAGAAGGGCATCAATAAGGAACATCCGTGGAACATCATTGCGGATTCTCAGCTGCAGTCATGGACCCTGGTGATTGGTGATGATGGCGATTTGATGGCGATTTGATGGCGATTTGATGGCGATTTGATAGCGGTTTCTGTGGTGTTTCTTGGGCGCCTGAAGGCTTGATTGCTGGGTCCCTTCACACCTCTTCCGCTCTCGAAGCTGGCAGGGCCAGGAGAATTTAAGCTATGGTCACAGGAAGGCTGCCGGGCCTAACGTGTCTAACCACTTCTGCAGTCCACCAATATACTGGAACCTGCCAAGAGTGAGATAGTGCGAGACTCAAAAAGCATTTATAATTATTGGGAGGTGGCCAAGTTTCACGGATTTTCCATGCCGCTCTTTAAGGGCGTTGTGGAATATCCACTATGTGGAGGGGTGGCATTGCATGTTAAAGCATGTTGATCGATTCCACTTATCAAACCAGGGTTGACGAGCTTTGGTGTGAGATCAATCACATCAATCACAAACCCCAGCAGGAAAATTATCAACTAGGGAGAATAGTCTGAGCCAAGCCACCTCACTGTAGCATCACCGATTTGCTGCGGATGATCATGTCACAGTGATGATTAAACTGACGTGATTGGTGCTACCTACCTTGGCCTTGCCAGGTCTAGATACGATTGGTCAGAATTGATTGCCCGTAGTACCCTGTAGTTTTACATAGTGTCGAAACGTCTCGAACCCATATAGTCCATGAAAATGTTCAACGTCAGATGGCCGGACCTCCTGCTGACGCAAGACACGAACTGAACTATGGGGTCTCTCCATTCGGCACAGCAATGACATTTCCTAAGTGTCTGCGCACTGGGTCCCCTTTCTGATTAGCAGTTGCTGACGTGCTTGCACCAATCTTGGCTACAGCTGCTGGTTTTGTCAGTTGGGGCAGCAGGCAAACAACAGCAACTAAAGAAACTTGTGAATCTTGAAAGTATGAGCCCAAACGCCACTTACAAGCCCACTAGTCACTACTCTGCCACTCAGTGTGAAAGTCAAGTGGGGATATCATCCCAATGTTAAGCATCGAAATTTTGAAAAGGATCTGAAACCTGCCTGAAACCACAACACCTTTAACGTGGATCAATTCAGCGTCTCGTTGAAAGGGGACCCACGTGGCAGTGGTGCTGGCTTTTCTACCCGATGACCAGTCATCAGGGTGAAACGAAATGCCCCTAGAAGATGGCATCCCGGAAAGAGGATGGAACATGCAATATATCATACAATAATTATACATGTGTGTGTATTTAACTATTAATTAGTTCATATTAGTTCTATCTATCAATTATCTATCCATATGTCTAAAAGTCATGAAGGAAACAAAATGAAACAAGGATAAATAAGTTCTTGGAGAGGGGTAGCTGCCGAGAAACAGCAAGTACGGTATACAGTTTGATTTCCTCTTCAATGGATGCAACCAGGTTGAAAACCCAAAGATATATATATATACCTGCTGTTCAATTGGGTTTTCTGGCCATCTTCTCAAACCAGCAGGTCTCCATTTTCCCAAAAATCTGAATCTCATCCACAAAAAGAATCCATGCCGGTCCATGCCTATGATCCAGACTTTTCTGGAGTTCTCCCTTGTTGTTCCTAAATGTCGCCGATTTCTCAACCTAGTTGAGGGACCTACCTTGGATTTTTTTCCTCGGACCAATGGGTTAGGGTTTCCGTCAACTTTCCGACCAACATTGTGATGTTTGCAAAGTACATCCATCACTTGGTGGAGGGGGCACACTTGGGCATCCGAAAAGATAGGCTGGGCTACCACAATACAACTTGACAAGAAGCACCACCCGGTACAACATTCAACATGGCCTGGTTTACCACCAAAGACCTCCATCAAAAACATGAAATATCATGAAATAATCACTCATTGAAAATTCGAAGATTCAGTGTAACATCAACTAACCACTAAACCACTTCAGAGATGGTTATGGCTCAAAATAGTTGGTTTTCGTTTTCATGGATGGTTATTCCCCCAAACATGGTAATAAGATGCAATAAATCAACAATATCAATCTGATATCAATATCTATATAATGATGGGTTTTGACCCATCTCTAGATATCTCTAGATGTTCAATGTTCCCCCAAATAAATCCAAATATGGTGGTTTTGAATGCTTTTGACCCATCCCTAGATCTTCATCGACTTTCTTCCGGATCCTCAACTGGACCTCCAACCAGGACGCACATCTCGAGCCGTCTCTTTGGGCCCCGTCCGGGAGGCTCGGTCGTTTTTGCCAAAACTGCGCCGAGCAAAACTCGGCGGTTCGTTCGTGGCCAGCTATGAGCACCGAAACGCACGGGTTGAAAACGCCCAGAGGGGTGATGAAAATGCTGAATCGGGAGATTTCAACACCCAGAATGGAAGCTATATGAAGATATAATTATAATTGATATAATTCTTGATTTTTTTCTTGATAGAAAAACCACCCAAAATGGGCCGTGAATAACGAGATGTGATGGATCCATTCTGGTTTGAGTTTAAGGGACGGTTTGTGGGAAACCACGTTCATTAAGTTCTTTCCAAATATAAGGGGTTCCTTTTTATCCCATAAAAGAATTCTAGGAACGGATCGATGAAGGGATCAGTGGATCATTGTGTAGCATGTGGAACTGCAAAACGTTGATCCATACATCAATTGGAAGCTGTGGTGGGTCATATCATGTCATATCCATCATATTATGTGCAAGCTTTGTCAAAGACACTGGGATGATTTTCGCCAACTGTCAAGACTGGCATGGATTTCAGCTTGTCTCCACCTTTCGGTGTTGTTCCAAAGGTTTCGTTGAGGGGGTATCTTAGGTTAAAATCATCCCTGTCATAGGCGGACCACCTACAGGCAGTTGTTCCATCCATCATCCATCTATTCTTCCAGTGGCTTCTGATCACTTCAAGGGAAATGCGCAGCGGGTTCCATAGCTGGCGTAGCGGAGATTTCGTCGCGACAGGCAGATGCCAAGGCCGGTTTGATACAGATATGGGGAAATATATTCTGATTATGATTGAATGATATGACATCAGCTTCGCAGCTGTCTCCCAAAGCAGCCCCCTTCAACTAGAGTAAGGGTTTTCTAAACCCTCAGGCAGTCGTGGTGGTTGATGAAACGGGGCATCCAGCCATCAAAACGGAGAGAATGAACATTGGTATGAACATGAATAAAAATACAAACGTGCACCATTGAGCAGTGTGCCCTAAGCCATCGACATCCTTCTGTCACAGTGGGCTGCGCAGTCTAATGTACTTTGGATTGCGGGCTGGCAGGGGCTGTTACCCCGGCAGAACAGCACAGTGCGGCTTTCCATGACTTGCAGTGCATTCCCGTGGGGTGCAGCAACATAAAGTTCATTGTAGTTCCACTATTGAGACAAGCCTGAAATTGCCTCCAGTATCCTCCAGTGCACTGCAAAAGATCAGGAAAGCAGGTTCGCGAGCACAAGGGCGTCGCGTCTTGAACTGGGCTAAACCATTGGTTTTTCGGGCACGGCATGCTGGGCCGTTTCTTGGGGGCCACTGCTTTCCACAGGCTTTGTGGCTCATCTTTGGGTAGCCTTGAAACACCTTTCTGATTGACACGGGCATGGGTCAGAAATTCAAACCCTTTACAAATACAACAAAGAGCAACTTCGCTGCTTGGGACCATTGTCTTTTCCCGTTTGTTCTGACCCACGCTCACATCTTAGCCTGTTTGGTGTGGCCCCTCGGATTTCGAATTGCTGCAGCTCTGAAGCTGGACTGATGCGCCCGAAGCGAAAGGCTGAGTGACTCTTGAACCATGAAACATTGGACGGTTTTATATACACCCATCATACCTAAGCCTGGGGCATGATTGCGACTTAGCTACTTGGATGACCACCCAAGACGTTCACTAATCGGCAGCCATCAATGAACTAATCCAGTTGTTGGAAAAAGAACACATTCGAACAGAATTGATGTATAAATATTGAAGGACTTACAAACCATAGATTCTAATTAATCGCGAAATGGGATGCTCATCCAAAGAGATTTTACGGAATGTACCCAGTGGTAGTTGA